CACCACAACAGGACCAAATAGGCAGGTCCATAGAGGCAGGAGTCTACCACAGCTGACAGGATCTAAGTTGCAGACTATGCACAGGTCCCCCATTTAGAATAAATGAAGAATATAAGCTGAGACTGTGTAAGCTGAGGGGGACAACACAGTGGTTGAATGTGCAGAAACGACAACATGTGGACTAGAAATCTGCAAGTCTTGATAGCAGCCGACCAAAGGTGGTTGAGAACAACACAGCTAAGGACTTGTGGAACTGTGATTTCTAAAAAGCAGCTGCTGGCTAATCAGCAAGACGTGGTGGCTGACAAGGAACAGAAGACTGCACTTCTGATAGATGTGACAGGAACAGGAGGAAGAAGGGGAACGAAAAAATCAAGAACTACCAGAGGCTGAAGAAACAACTCGAGGAGATCTGGACGAAGAAGTCCAAAGTGGTCTTGGTGGTAACAGGAGCTTTCCAATCTATGACCATGAAACCAGGAGAGTGGCTTGAACAGATTCCAGACGCAACTTTTGATGCTCTCGTCTATCCACGGCATGGCTCGCATTTGTGTCCTCAATCCAGCATTCAGTTTAGACTAAAAGTTACTCTCATCATACACAGTGGTTGGTATGTAATGCACTCTGTGCAGAAGTACGACAGTGATCTCCAAAACATACTGGCCTCCATCCATCCATCTGGGGCAGCAGCCTAACCAGAGAAGCCCAGACCTCCCTCTAACCAGCCACCTCCTCCAGCTTATCCGGGGGAACACCAAGGCATTCCCAGGCCAGCCGAGAGATATAATCTCTCCAGCGTGTCCTGGGTCTGCCGCGGGGCCTCCTCCCGGTGGGACATGCCTGGAACACCTCACCCAGGAGGCGCCCAGGAGGCATCCTTGTCAGATGCCTCAGCTGGCTCCTTTCGATGTGGAGCAGCAGCGGCTCTACTCTGAGCCCCTCCCGGATGGCCGCTTGTATCCGCGATCTCCTTCTTTCGGTCACTACCCACAGCTCGTGGCCATAGGTGAGGGTAGGGACGTAGATCGACCGGTAAATTGAGAGCTTCGCTTTTACACTCAGCTCCCTCTTCACCACGACGGACCGGTGCAGCGTTCGCATCACTGCACCCGCAGCACCAATCCGTCTGTCGATCTCCGGCTCCCTTCTCCCATCGCTCGCGAACAAGACCCCGAGATACTTGAACTCCTCCACTTGGGGCAGGAACTCATCCCCGACCCGGAGTGGACACTGAGAACCATGGCCTCAGATTTGGAGGTGCTGATCCTCATTCCCGCTGCTTCACACTCGGCTGCGAACCGTTCCAGTGCGAGCTGGAGGCCCCCACCCGATGAAGCCAACAGAACCACATCATCTGCAAAAAGCAGAGATGAGATTCTGAGGCCTTGCACATCTAATATATTAAAAAAAAAAGTTTTTGACATAAGAAGTGTTTTTGTTAATCTGACTTTAAGAAGATTGAGATTAATCTTCATGAATCTTATATTATTCAAATATAATGTTAGCAAACCACAAATCAGCTACAGATGATCTGATTTCTCTGCCAGCTTACATCAGCTGATACGCTACACGTCCAACTGGCAAAGCTCATAGAAAGTTGCTGCACTTGTTCAAGCTGCTTTGCAACCTCCCTCCAATGAAAGGGTCCTAACTGAAACATCATTTTCCTTACAATGAGCGTTCAAAGGAGCTTGGAAAGAAAAGAGACTGGATGAGCATTAGACTCATGGGAATTGATGGGATGAGTTGATTTAGTAAGTATATAATTAAATTAGTCAACAGTAATTTAGGTATCAGGTTAAACTGTCTATATAATTATCCTCCAACATTTATAAGCTGGGATGAGTTGATTTAGTAAGTATATAATTAACCCTGGAGAAACCATGGGGTCAAATTTGACTCCATGGTTTCCCTAGAAAACCAATGGGGTTGGTTCTGACCCCATTGGTTTTCTAGGGTTAAATTAGTCAACAGTAATTTAGGTATCAGGTTAAACTGCCTATATAATTGTCATCCAACATTTATAAGCCACATTATTCTAAATAGTACAGCTTTTTCTGCTGTTCAGTCAAAACTTTTTTTTCTTTCTCTTTGTGATATTGTATAGTCTTGAATATAAACACATGTTGATTGATTTTCTGTTTGGCGATCATCAATCCATCATTCATTTTGATCTCAAAATTCTCAGTTCAATCACATAATTGATTTTTATTAACAGCGTAAATTAAATTAGAGCTCTTCCTCTTCACTTGGCTATATTTTATATGAAAACACGTTGCATGGTGTGGGCCGGGCTAATTGGGCTTGATTTAATGACTTCATTTTTTTTCTTTTGAGTGCTTAGAAGTCATCGCATATGTACATATAACACAGTAAGGTGCTTTTCAGATCCTCCCAACTCCTGTTGTAAATGAGCTCATCTTTCTTCCAGGTCAGCAGCAAACTGTGGCTCATTAAAAAGAAACAGAGAGACTAGAGAATCCAGGCTGATGGTAATAATGAATAGAAAAAGAAAAGCAGCAGCCGTAGCCTCCGGGCAGGATTACAACACAGAAAAATCACAACCAGGAAATGAAGACGTCCGCTGTTCCACTGCGGGCAGATGGCATATACGTGTGCCGTAAATATTCTGTGCATGTTTTTTTTTGAGTGAATCAAGGTCTGTGTGAAGTCACTCAGGATGAAAAAGGGGAGGCAAGAAAAAATGAAAATGGCTCCAGGGCTGGAAAAGTGAACATAATGCGAAAGAGCCTTAACTCACTTACCGATCACAGTGAACGCACGATGGATAGCCCTCGACCTAGAAACACAGTCAGACCAAGAATCATAAAATACAATGAATTTATTTTTCAGTAAGATCCAGAATGACTGACTGAGTCCATAAACAGCAGAAACGTCATTAAAGAGACCCAGACGAAAAATTATACTCTTATAGGACCTACAGGACCAGAAGGTTTTTTGAAGTCCAACTCTGATGTTGAATAGTCAGGCCTGGCTAGCCGTCAGTTCTTCTAAAGAAAAAATGTTGGATTGTTCCTTCTGTGCAAAACTGAGGTAACTTTTTCCCTTTGGCACAGAGGCCTTTTGTTTCTTCAGATTGTTGCCACAGAGTTACAAGCATGCGATTGTCTAAAAATCACCTCATTCAAAGATGCAAGATGCACATC